GGATGTTGAAAATATCTGATACTACTCGGAGATATGGATTTAAATATCTAATTTAATATTTAATTTAAGCAACTAGCACTAGCACTGCAATAACTGAAACAGTTTATTCAGTAGAAGCTATAACTTAAGCGTATTCATTTATACATCACTTAAGCTGCTGTAATGAGTTCGCATATTCACTTCGTACCACCATCTTCAATAACATTTCATTGCTTTTCTTTAACGTCGGCGTTAACACGTGAGTGGGTGAATTCTTACACTTGCCATGTACCTATATATTATACAGCCTTGCTATAGTATAAACCTATTATTCTATTTCTTATGTCCAAAATTCAATGTCTTAGATTTGTATTATGTTGAACGATGTTTTCATATTATGTCATAAGTTACTGCTGTTTTTCTGACCTATTCAAAGTGGAAACTGAGTTCGTATGGATTAAAATTTTGATGTTTTGATTAAGTCTTGTCTTCTGGTCAATTTCATATTGGATTTAAATAACTGTTGGTTCTCAGTTCATAATCTATAGACTTACGTACTTTGCATCTTCATAACAAAAAGCGTCGTTTACTTATAATGGAATTACATCAAAAATTTTTAATGCACAAGATGCACGCGTGTTAAATTTATACATCCTATATAAAACCAAAAGTCTTTAGTTTTACGGGACAATTATTTTCAGCAAAAAGGTTATTAAATATTTGAATTAGCTAAAGGATTTATTGTTTTAATAAAGCTATCTTAATCACTTGACAAAAATAGAGTGTATTCTTTACTATAAAAACAAGAGAAATAAGAAATTCATCGGTACACAAGAGAGGTTCGTAACCGCTGTCTTGGACCCATGTTAAAAGGTACTAAGTCAGCAGTGCCCCCAAACGTGGATAATGCCATAAGATTATGAAAACTTTCGTGAGACATTATGACGACTGCACTCACTAATTGGCATACACTTATTGTATTTGAGTTCAGCTAACCAAAGTTATCAGGATTTATTAGATTGTTACGGGACAGATCAGATCGAAACGTCGGGGATTAAAAATCAAAATTAAAACGCGATAGAATCCGTAAAATGGTTTCATATAAAAAGTATAATACTCGTGTAAAAACAAGAAATCACTGATTAGGATATTCGCGCGAATGTAATTGAATTAAGGAGTCTAATCAGAACGAGTACTAAATCGTGTGATGCAGCATAATTCCGGGACATTGCTAGTGCCGGTGGCGACATTTAGAGGCGACCCATGCCACCCTGGAGGCCGTGGTCATTTGCTCGCAGCCTCCGATTGGTCCCGGGGCGCGGGGCAAAGCCGTGCATACCCCGATTTAACTTAGCCACGTTATGTAACTTTAATTAATGTGTTCACGTACTGCGTGAGTTTATTGAGTAGCGCCGCGCGACGTAATTTTGCTCAATTTACGTACATTTCGTGAAACTGAGCTGTACAGCAAACGCTTGTATTCGAGTATTTAATTGGTGTTGGTTTCATGATATTTTGTAACGGTTGCATGTGATGGTATGTTATCAGAAGGGATACGCGCATGTGAAAATTCCAAAATCTGGAATAACCCGAGTTTGCAGTGTTTTTAAAATATAAGTACTAAAATAACTATTATAATTTATAATTGATTTAAAATGAAACAACCGTTTTTGTTCGTGGCAGGATGACGAAGGAAGTTTTTATTTTGAATACCACAGACAATGCAATAAGTATAGATATCATAATTTTACACATGATAATCATAGATAATAGTTGGTTTATTTAATGTTGCTCTAATTAATTTCAACAATAACTGTACAATTATTGTACAAAAATCGTAGGTTTTATCTACTATACTATTACTAAAAACAACAAACAATAACGTCCCTCTTTGGCCCGGGTAGCACTAATTATCGAAAAAATAAACTGCTTATCTAATGGATCACCCGCTAGCCTAATCTGAATGTTACTTGATAATTTTATTAATTTTTATGTATGTATATCTATTATTATGGATGAAATCGTAACATTTTGACCTGATTTGTGTTGTCAACAGCGTGTTGTCCCTTCATTCAGTTGAGCATGAAACCGCTAACGCGCCCTTCTCGACAGTTGCCGTCCCCATCCCGTCCATCCATCGGAAACATGGCACCGGGGCAAGGTCCCTCGGGGCTATAGCGTGGGACCAACCCTCTTTATTATTAATGAGAAAGCCAACCGTGGTGGCCACAGAATGGATCGGTTTAACATATTGTGTCCCCACGCGTGCCTGCTAAATCGATTTAATCTCGTACTAATGCTCATTTAACTGTTAGTTTAATTTTCTGTTATACGAATACAGCTTTGCATTTCATGGATTAGTCGAAACAAACAGACAGACAGTGTTTGTCATATTTTGTTATATTTTTTACAATGTTATATGTACCGTGGATAACATCCATATGCATTTAGTAAAAGCGGTTATTTTATTTATCTGTATAGATGTATAGATCAGCCTCACGGTTTGTGTTTTCAATTAAAACGTTAGAGTTACAAACATTTAATTTTTCAAGTTCTGTGTGTTTTCCGTGTTTCTACAGCACAAGGCGTTATATTAGTGTATAGATATGGATAATTAAATAAACAAGCTTTCTCTACCGTAATAATTTCAAATTACGCGTAGATGTTGAAACCTTTTGGAAATAAATCATGGAGAGTGTGACAGGTGTGTGTCTCGACAGAGTCGCTTAAATTAAAACTTTGTAAGTTTTCCAAGTTTTGGAACATTGCTCGTTTCCACTCGCTTTTTATTAACTTTCTGTCCCTTGTCCCATTTCTCTTTATCCTTTTCAACTCTCTATACATTACGGGCAAAAGTCTCCTCTGTGGAGGGAAAGTCTACTACGAGTAGTCGTAGTAGACTTTCCCTCCACGTGGATATGTGTAGTAGACATATTTTCGAAAAATTTAATTATACTTTGCGTAATATTTCAGCACCTGATAAATTAAAACTTAATACTCCCATTAAGAATATCATTGTTGCTGGCAGTGGAAATTTAGCTAGGGTGCTCCAGTGTATTGAATTAAATTCAATACATCGAACGCCCAGACACTTTTATAGGGAAATATAAGTATTAATAAGTAAAGTAAGTAAGTAAAAAGTGTTACAAAGATATGTGCGACGTATAAGTACAAAGACAGAATCATGAGGTAACCGGATTTGTAGTTACATGTCTAAGGGTTACTTCACGTTTCTGTTCTCAGCTTACCTCATTTTTCATTAAAGTCTAACGCTGCTTTACTGACACGAAATGCGTCATTTCGGCCCCTGTAAAAGGTCGGGCAGTTTCAGGGCAAGAGAGCGCTGAGCGGCCGCAATCTCGTCTCAAACGTCGAAAGGCCCACTATTAGCATGCAAACTGTCAGCCGACTCTCGCTTATCGTGACGAACTCGACACAAAACTCCGGGCGCTTTCGCAAAAGAAATCATTTATTTCATTTTAATGCAAACGTTAATCTTGCTCCCAACTAAAATACAAGATTCAAGGTTGAATAATTAAGAACAACTATGGCTTCACATTTAAGGTAATCATCTCATTCATGAATCATATCTTTCATATCTTTGAAAAGAGAAAGTGGAACTGTGGCAGGACCCCGCAATGGTATTCACTGTTGCAGGAATGGGCAGGTCCGTCCGGGTAATTACTACGACCGGTGTTGCAAATGGGCGGCGGTTATCACTTAAGATCAGGTGGGCCGCCAGCTCTTTTGCCACTTTGTCACATAAAAATAAGAAGGCGTCCCTTGAAAACTATCCATTTAAAGTTTATGGAATGAAGTCAGGTTTCGTCCGCTATTTAGCCTCTTGTCTGTGAAACATAATAAAGACGTTAATATAAAGAACTTCCAAGCACACGAATGTTGTTCTTATGTCGCTGGAAAATATTTGCCTTTCACATTTCTCTTCCCCATTTTACGGGTTATTTTTAAAAATTTAATTAAAATCCTTGCGTCCTTGTATTTACGTATGTATTCAGGCAGGTGTGTCGCTATCCTTAAGAACTAAGTTGAATTGCGTCATTGGGTCTAATACCTTAACTTAGCTCACCGTCATATCATCTAACCGCGGAAGGACATCCCTCTTTACCATACTATAACGATAATAAGGCTGAGTGCTGTAGCGGAACGAGTAATACGAGTTATTTTTCATGTTTATATAAGCGTGCACATGCTATTGCAATTGTACCCTACTGTTAAAAGAGGTTAATGTGTGTTTAAATATTTCGAAAATACGCGACGTCTACCAATCCGGAGTGGCCTATGCTCTTATAACCTCTGTACAGAGGTACAGTCCTTTGCCAGTCCTTGTACAGACTGTAACTTTACAGATGAGGGCTTGTTATTATACACAGTAGGAATCTTAATCTGCTCTCCCTTGAGACGTTTATGTCTCAATTCCAAGTAAGAGCAGCTTTTAGCTGATATTTACTTCTATAACGAGAATATTTTTTTTGAGTCTAAGATATTTAGTATATTTATTTATAATTAGATATATAGTTTAAGATATATAGTTATATTTATCATTTAGTATCATATTTAAAGCAATTTCGTTTTACGTTAATCAATTTTAAAATTCAAAACATTTTTAATTTTGTCAGCATTATTTTCAGCCAAAATTATTTAGTAAAAAATACTTTGAAAAGATACTAATATTAATCAAGACGTCAACGTTTAATTCATTAAATAAACATAATGAATTTTAATTAAGTGCTCCCTATAAATAACAACACTGTCCTCCTCGCGGGATTTACAGTATGAAATATTATCTTTAAGTTGATAACATTTACGACGGATGTTTGAAAGTAAAATATAGGCTAAATTATTCCATTCAATTCTTAAACGTTTTTGTATGCTTACTATGATCGAGGAAAAAACGTTTTCAAAGTTCCGCAAGAAAAACCCTTTCCGACTGATTGGGCGATTTAGCGCTGTCGAGATGAGCACGCTCCGATAGCGGGGACCGTACTACACCAATCCCCGGAATGAAAGGAAAACGAGTAGAAAGCCGTGTCCAACACGAATACTCGTCTGCGCCGAAGATAGGCCGGGCTGACAAAGACGCGAAAACAAAAGTGGAGCCCCCCGATGGGTGCGGAAAAACTACAGACTCATTAGAAGAGTGGCGCGGCCGACTGTTTGCGATCACACACCGGCATCGCCGGGCAGTGATTAAATACGCCCCGGGCGGACTTTAGCGAGTGCGACAATGCCCGATGTAAATAGTACGCGCCCGACAGCCTTTTAATAGAGCTGCCCTCCCCTTTGTTTCGACCGTAATTTATCACTACCTGTTGGGATTATCGCGACTCGTTGTGCGATAGGTCTCGGCCGTAAGCAAGTGAAAAAGTTTCGAGCCAGCACTCCACGCTCTGTGCGTATGTTTTAAATTTAATTAATTACCTGAGAAAGTAATTGGAGGGTAATTCATACATTGTTATTCCGCTGAGCATTTAAGTAACATTTCTACCTATTTTAAAAACAAATTTGCAATGTTTAAAACTGTGAAGATAAAACAGTCGCCTAAACATTTCGCGGCTGTCAACATTCTAGAAAAAATGTATAATTGAAATCTGTAGAAAAATACGAAGATTTCGATGTTTTTCGTCCCTGTGACAATCGAAACCACGTCTTCGGGATTCGAGCCCAGTCGCTTTGACCAATAAGCTAAACGGCTGATTGCATTTTTTTTTTTCAAGCAATGCTTGGCGCATCCGTTGTTTCATTTTCTTCATTTTACAACGACAATACGCCCGAGAGATGTCGCGGCCATTTTTTAATTCTATGAAGGTTTGTGAAATAAAAATCATAAATTATAATTAAAAAGATTTTGTTATCAGCAGGAGAGCGGGTGCGCGGTGCCGGTGTTGGTGGTGGTGGCGCTGACTGGCGTGAAGATATGCGACCCAGACGACCAGGTTAGTAAGAACTAGAAATTATATACTCACGATTCAGATACAATATAAAGTTACAAAGATGATATGAAAAGGAACATCTGCTTAGCGTGTCTTTACTGTGGTATCTTGTATCTCGTATTAACTGATGTTTGTGCTTTCTGTCCCGAGACTATTAAAGCTTCATCTAACGCAGAACCAGTGGGCTAGCCAGAACCCACGTGTTTGGGCCCTCCGCTGTGGGTTTAATGCGGTCCCATTCGTGCGTTTTACCATAGGGTATGTCATCTAAGGGCCATGGAAGTTGCGATGCGGACGGAGACCCCGATGGCAGTCAACTGTGTTTTTAGCTAATCGGTGGCTGGGGGCGGTGAGAACCGCCCTGGAACGCGGGTGTAACTTGTGTTGGTCTCGCCGTGCTCGGAGGCCAGGGCGAACTCCGGCGGGGTCTTTACTTTGGCAGAGCCGTGAAACCTTTGCTGTTGCATGAATGGGCAGTCTCGTGGGGGCAAGTAACACAGGCCCACTGGATTTTTTTTTGGGGCTGGATATGCCACTGTCGGCCATAGGGGCCTTTACAGATCCGCCGGACTTGGGGTGGCCGGAAGATTGGGGCGCCCAGCCTGAAGAAGACCGGTGTGCTGTGGAAGTATTATACTTCTGTTTCGTTTGGTGAAGTAATCAAGGCCTACTTTTTTGCTGGCGTAAGGTGTTTTTCCTCTAAAAAATACTTTTTTTATAATACCTGGTTACCTACTTAATCTGACCCAATTTGGCCAGATAATGCCTGTTACATATTCTAATGAAGACGAGATGCGATCAAGTTAATTTCAATTTTAAATTCACTCGTGTCAAAGCACGAAGAATGATTAGATTGCAACTTAATGTGACTTTTACGTTATTTAACACTTTATCGGTGTACTTTCAATGTTAATGAATTCAATATTTTAAAATGTCCCTCATTTAATTTAGTACGTTTATTCGTACGTTCGAGTTTGAATTCATAAATGGAAATTGTATTAGTACATTTTTTTATAAGTAACTTAAAATTTTATTAAAATACTGCTCACACTAAGACGAGATATTTATAATCTTAAATTTTTTTCACTATTGTAAAATTTTTATGAAAAATGAGTGATATCACAAAACAAATGTGGCCTGCAGTGTTCCAAAAAGGAACATAATTCCTTCCTTTGTTCAACCATTTATTGAGGAGCCTGCAAATCCTCTCTGCTCGATATGACTAGTCGTATTCCCAGACGCTCTCACGGCGATTTCTACCTGGCACCTCATCGACATTGTTGCTCTACCTGGCCGGCACCTTCACCATCGCTTTATGCTATGGCTTTTAGTTTAAGCTATATATATATAGCTAGATATATATATAGCTCTATATTAATTATGAGATATTAATAATGATGATGATGTCAACGCATCTGCAGCCCTCGGGTGTAGCAGATGTCCGTGGGTGGCGGTATTCACTTAACATCAGGTGAACCGTCTGCTCGATTGGCAACTTTTCACTTAAAAAAAAATTTCACGTTCTTGAACAACGGTGATCCCTATAGCGTGCACATGTCACATGCGAATTTCACGTACGTAACGACGGTGGTCCGCAGAGCGTGCGCATGTCGCATGCGCTGCGCCGCATCTCGTACGCGACGTGTGAGGCGGCGCGCGCGCTGTTCGCGTTCGTGGCGCGCGAGCCCCGCGCCGACCCGGCCGCCCAGTACTGCCACGCCTTCGAGACAGACACGCCCGAGCAGGTGAGCACTGACACGCTTTACATTTAACGAACACCAATAACAAGGTCACTACTTACGCGCAGCTCAGCTGTAATAGCTCACTGTCCGGGCGCTCGCTTAATTCAATATACTCGAGCAACCTGAATTCGATCCCCGGTGTTAATTTTAAGTGGTGAAATATCACGTGATCAGCGGTGAAGGAAAAAATCTCGAGGAATCTCGCATATTTTCGAAATAACAACGAAAAAAATGTTACGAAGTTACGTGAAGTCCGCCAATCCGCAGTGGGGCTGCGTGGTGGAGTATTACCCTCTGTACAAAGGAGGAATTTGCTCAGCAGTTTGGACATGTATAGGCTGTTAATTTACTTTTTAATTTTTCCTTACGCACAAGCCTATCGGAGGCGCACGGAACGATGGTCTTTGTGGCGTTCCTGGAAAGGGGCGATACAGGCAACACTTTCCTCAAGAAATGTTGCCATACCATTGATGAATTGTAACAGTTCTTGCGATTAAAAAGGCACACGCTAGTTACCGTTTTCTTTGGAGATGGTCAAATACTTTGGAGTCTCTTTTAACTCAATAATATCATTTAATACTCACTTCTAAAACATTAGGAACATAGCCGCGTTCTTATCGGGTCTCGGAATTAAATGAAGTAACAAAATATTGCCCATACGGCGTAAACTTCTATTATTTGACAAGCTCATCGTCATTTTTATGTACAGAATTTCGACTTGTTTCTTCAAAAGTGTAAAGCATCAGTGTAGCTATCTTAATAGATAGAAGAGCGACGGAAGCAATTAAATGGCAATACGACTCTATCGACGTTGGGAATTGCTCTGTACGAGCGTAACGCCAATCGTCTCGTGCTAGACGAGGCTGCGATTGTGCCTTCCGTCCACAACATATGCGGACCCATTGAGCCACGTCGAGCGGCCGCGGCTTGCAAATTGAAACCCTCGCCCGGGGCGGGATCGGGCGAAGGCAAAGCCCGCACTCAGACTTATTGGAGCGATCGCATCGACCCGATATTGCCACGGAACAGACGCCGCCGGCCCAAGTGAACATTCCGATGCGACTTTGGCCTGTATTATATTGATCTCTACTTATACTTAAAAACTCGAAAATTAATCTTGTTTTGCTCGTCCCTCTTTTCAAACTAATCTTGGCTTTAATTCACCTTTAATGTGCAATGAACTTAATCCACTTTATACTCGTGCTGAACACGTCGACATTTTTAACGATTCCCTGTGTTTTTACAATAGGAAGTATTAAAATATGTAGAAAATTAAAATATGTAGAAAAAGTACGAAATTATAAATAATAATAAAAAGAAATAGAAAGTAGTCACTGAAGTCATTTCAACCAACATGCTCTTTCTTTAGAATTACTTTTTTCCTTATTTATTTTTGATTCTTTCATTTTCATTGTTAGGTTATTATATATTATTTTATTTATTTTTTCACGTATTACTAATTTATTTTTTGAATCTTTATTGTCACAATATTGTACACACCAGTTTTGTAGTACATATTAGGTCGAACGATTTAAGCTTTTCCTTTTTTGGAAATTGTGTCAATATGAATATGTATGCTGTTGTGTGCCTATAGTGCTGTTCTTTGCACTTAAGATGAAAAGTGGACGAAAAGTTTTTCACCAGTGCGAGGATATCGTAATATTTTCCATAAATTTCAAACTGCTCTGATATAATAAAAATAAAACTTTGTGCACGTGTCCCTCACCCCAAATTAACTGTAGGAATAACGGAATAACAATAAATAAAAGTTCCTATACAATTTCATTACCTTTAAACTACCTATAACTTTGAAATTTTCTTGGAAGTCTCGAAGTAGGGTAAATAAAAATGGCAAAAAAATTTAAAATGACATTTAAAACACTGTACATTGCTTATTTATATGATATGTAAGAGCCAAAATTAAAAATATTACAAATCTGAATGTGAATTTTACCTATTTTTTGTATTTTTAATGTCCCAAAATCTGAAACCATTTACATCATTTATAAACTTAATTTAGTAATCTATAACATAACCCGGGTGAAGTAAAGCTTGTTGATTTTTTTATTTGTTGAATTATTTATGGTCCAATTTAGAAGGCGAGGTTCTAATATTCGTACATATAATAATTCACTGATGAAGTTTTGGTTTCCTGCCTCAGAGAACTCGGAAAACTCAATCATTAAACGTTAAGATGGAAGTCCACATTTACATAAGAACGATTACTAAAACGCTACCGCCTGTGCCTTGGTACCTCGCTCAAGTCGCTCGCGGTGCACTTGCGATTATTGTGCCTAAACTTCGCTTTAACACCCAGCGCCGCTCCACGCCTCCTGGAAATGCACTTTACGTTAGTTCTAATCTTTGATTTAAACCAATACACAAGAAAGAGTTTGTGGAGCTTTTCAATTGCGCCGAAGAAAATCGGGTGTCAACTTGCGGCTTGACTAAGAAACTCTGTGACAAAAGGCACAAACTTAGAATTCAATTTTAAATTTTTCTTCTTCTTTTTATTAAAATAAAACGTTGCCCTTACTTCCGAATGACATATCTTGTGGTGTAAGGACGTTTTATAAACATAAATTTCACGCGGATAAACGCCAAGATGCGAACTATTATCTGTGGGTCACACAAGTAGTTGTCCCGTGTGGGAATCGAATCCACGATCCCCGACGCCGAAGCCAACACCTTGGCAACTGCGCCACGCATTCATAAACGTCATTAAATAAGATTCCTTATTAAAAAAAACAGGTAACAAAAGTTCTTTCAAATTTGTTTCGACATCAAATTACAAATGAAGAAGATATGCTATTTTATTATTTTAGAAAGATTTTATTGCATATTTTATTCCCGTAGTGATATTTCAACAGCAACGAAAAAGAAATCTGTCCTTTAAATATTCCACATTAAATGTTATTTGAGACTGGTGGCATACTGAAGAGTTACGTTAGGTGACGCCAAGTATTGCTAAATATACAAATCAATGAAACATTGTCATGAGAAAAGCTCAATTAGCTAGTGCGTCTAATTGAGTAACCCAGAAGACATGGTTCCGATTCTAGCACTGGCAATCATTTTTGGACAAATAATCCTTTAATTAGCTTACATTTAAATAGAATCTTGAGTGCATTAACATAAAAGAAATCCTTAACAATTTAGCAAAATTTATATATGTATATCCGTTGAACTACAATAGGACAGAGAGACTTGTCCATTCTCCATATTAAATAAATAACTAAATAATTTATGTTACACACGAATTAAACTTAGCATGCACAAGTTGAAACATATCCTATGCACATTGTGAGGTTTACCGTGAAATGAAAAGAAAATTTGTTTTAAAATTAAAACTCAGACTTTCTCCGGGCGTCAATTCCATATTGCTATATATTATTAAATAATAGAGTAAGCATGACTGTACAAAACATTATAATAAATTAAATAATCTAAGAAGCCTAAACTTAAAACGTATATTTCACGTACACAACAAACCTACCACTATATGATTTGAACACAAACACAAATTTCCTTAGTCTCTTTGATGAAAGTAAACAATAATATTGCCTTTCTATCTGCAGTATTTTTATACGAATTACTATAACATTAACTTTAAAAATTATCTTAATTAGGAACATACAGTTGAGAAATTACCACGACAACTAAAAATCTAAGCTAGATTGATAGCAAGTTTTCTAAGCACTTATTCTTACGTTGCATAATCATTCACTGCACGTGGACCATCCAGTGGAGCGTGCGTTAGGTCTGTACAACAGACAACCCACCACTACGTGTCACGTAAGCCAAGTATTAATTCTGGCTTCCTGTGGCGCGGCTAGAGCAGCGATCAATTGGTAGCCGGCGCCCGCGGCAGCCGAGCATCTCTCTGCGTCATTTATCTTAATTACGAGCTCGCTTTGCTAATACCGCGGCTTTCACTGCTTCTAGATGTCGCTTTATCTTCTTCTCTTAAGACTCGCGTTTAAACGTTCTGCCTTTCTATTATTTCTTCCTTAGTGAAAACATGTCTGAGGCAATTACTCGTGTCGTACAGTTGTGTTTTTTATTAGAAAAACATTGCCCCTACTTTAGGAAACACAATCCTGTGTTGTAAGGATGTTTTAAAAAAAAACTTCACGCGGACAAACACCCAGATGCGAAACAACTATCTGTGGGACACAAAAATAGTAGTCCCGTGTGGGAATCGAACTCACGACCCCCGACGCCGAAACCCAATATCTTGGCAACTGCGCCACGGAGCCACATAGGTTATGCTTTGTACTGATTGAGTTATGCTAAGCTTAGACAAAATTAGCTCTCTACAAGATAAAGAGTTGAAAATCTACTTGTTTTTAATCAGTCCGTTCGTTATCGGATTGCCGATTATTATTAATTAATTGTAAATCGCATATAATATTTATTTCTTCATTTATCTATTTATGATATTCACGGGAAAATGTAGCGACAAGCAAAAAATAAATCACGTGTTTCATCCACTTCAAAGTTTCTTTGTCTCCTTTTAACGCATTTAAGTTAAACCTTGGTTTTTAAAACAGACTTTTAATTCTTTACTTATTAATTAGTAAAGTACAATTTTTAGTTCTTGCTTGACATATTTCTAAATCTGTTCATTTGAATCAATGCATCATTGTTGTACGGTTCGTTGGTCAGTGATACCTTAGATATGTCTAACAAAATACAGTACTTTGATTTCGGAGCTCTCCATCTTCTAGACAGCTTGCAAGCCAATGCTTATTACGATATTAGTGAGATGGGTCTATAAGTTATTGTGTGGAGCTTAATAAATGCGCCAAGTTTAGTCCGACCTTAGAACACGCATGCCTGATAATATCAGCTCAGTTGTATTTAATTTTTAAGGTAGATATTTCGAAATTCTTCCTCATGATTTTTTCCTCAATTTCATACAGCGTGTCGTTACCATAGCGACAATAAATGAACACACATATAGGGGATAACTTTTTAAAGTTGTATTAAACATTTAAATTCTTTAAACATCAATATTTACAGAGTTATAAAATTTTCCAAAACAAAGAATCGTAAAGTTCATTTGTAAAGGTCACAAAGCATATGAATGGGTTGAATGAATTTAAAAGAGACAAAACATACTGTTAGAAGGAGAGGTTTGTAATACGCCGCTGTGGCGCGAGTTGTATAGGATGTTACAAATTTTGTTTACTTTTTACTTAATTAATTTGTTTGAAAAATATATTTTTTTAATTATGGATTTTGTTTAACGTTAATATTTTTTTATGATTATTGGCAAGTAGCGTTAGACGTGTGTTCATTTATTGTCGCGATGGTAACGACACGCTGTATATTGTCATTGGCACTGAACAGCGTTCAAAATTACAAGGCTTAAAAAACTTGCCAATTAAAATATGTAGAAAACCAACATTGCAAGTTAAATAAAATTGGTAGATAAAATGTATTCATCAGACATTGTTCATAAATAAGTAACTTAAGAAACGTTTATGACATCTCAAAAATTATACAATGACTACATAAATTATGTCGTTTAAAATAACTGCATGTTAATGAATTAATTCAATATTCCAGACCGATATTGCACAAGACCCGAAAGCAAAGCCCGCATTCAATATCAAACGATTTGTCGCGATCGATAGGAATGGCCAAGTCATCACGGCATCAGCCTGGTACGGAGATAAGGCGACACGAATCGCCCACTATTGCCTTCCCTTTGTTCGATGTCACGGCATTAACGCAGACTAAAATAGGACACGGTTTTATTTTTCTCTCTGTGATAGGAAGACAAAGTGTTCAGAGCGTATGGTTTCAGGAGAATAATGTACATAGATGGTCATATCGTAGTAAGCAATTATCTCCCAATAATAATATTTTCTATATTACTGGATCTGGAAAAAGTAGGACAGATTCCAGCAAAGAGCCACAGTCTTTTACAGCTTGTAATTTTGAACCAGGAATGGAAAAATACAGACACCATCAGGTGACCCTTTTGGCTTATAACTTACACCCACAAAGAAAAATCCTATTGTACCATACTTATGT